CAGCTGTCTAGCAGAGCACCAAGGAGGTAATCTGCCCCAAACATACAAGCATACACATGCACACATATTATTTCCCCACCACCCCTCCCCCCACCATCCCGCGAGCCTCAGGGCCACCCCTGACCTTTGAGGAAAAGCAACGACTAGCTCCCACCCAAACAACTTGGCTCTGATGCAGGGCCTAAAATAAGCACTTTGTAACCTGACATTCTTCTGACAAGTGCGTTGTTACAATATGATTCATGTGGGCAGATTTACAAGGGCAGCGGTGGAGGACACTAATAACCTGATGTGATGTGTAAGGCCGAGTGGTGGAACAGCTTGGCTGTTAAAACCTCTAAATACACTCAAGAACTGAGTTTATGATGTGTGTAAAAGTGAAACAAAAAAAAGAAACACTTTTGAAGTGTAATCATATTAGCACTATATGGGTTTGGCACAACATGTCTAGGACAGTGCAAGAGTATGATGAATAAAGTGCTAAAGTGTCCTCTATAGCCGGTCTCCTCATTAAAACACTTGACATATCCCACATACTCAGTTTCATGTCCAAACCACAAAGCAGAACAATGACTACAGCAGATAAACAGCTGTACATGAGAGGCATCTAAAAGGCCAAGAGCAAGGACAAGATTCAACACGCAAGAACAGGATGGAAAAAGTCTTCACTCTCAAGCCTTAAGCAGAAGAAGAGAGCAGAGTGAAGAACAAGGCTGTGTGAAACAAGCACTCATCCTTTATTGTCATCACCTGGGCCTTCGAAAAGGCCATTCTTAAGAGCTCAAAATCTACTGATCAGCAAGCTTAGTGCCTACATGTTCAATGTTCATTTTTCAGAAACACATTAAAGCAAATCTCCAGCGTTTTTCAAACCAGCCTCTGCATCTGTAATATATTGTAAGTATTATGGACATTATTTTTCTGTATTTAGAAAGGAACAGAAAACCTCTTGACTTAAAACATTTGTAAAACCTATAGTGTTCTAGCAACTACACTTTGGCTTCTTTTATAAGCAGAGGGAAACCCTTAGGGCCTTCTAGGTCATCAAGACCTAATGATTTCTTATTTTATTTTCATTCAATAGAATCATGCTTGTGTTTTATACTCTGTAAGTATTATAGTACTACTCTTGTTTCATTGTTAAGTTTTGGATGTAAACAAAGTCCGGAATTGTTTTTCTCTGTGGTATCTTGGTAGACATAGCTAAGCAAGCGTTCCCATTGGTTAGGACTTTAAGAGCTGACTAGAGATCCTAACACGTTCAGCTAACTATAAAACGGAGTTAAAAAGTGACAGAGGAATCAACCAATCATGTTTGAATTCCAATAGGTGGAATTCATTTTGTGAGAAAAAAACTTCACTCTGGTCCATCTGGAGGTCCTAAATACGTCACTAAATAAGTGAGTTGCTCGAAATGGAAAACCGTGGCAGCAGCACTATACCAGGGCTCTCTACTGAAAGAGTCAATGTGAATCTGGTAAAACATACACTAATACATCTGTCACAAGTGTGAGGTATAGCATGTTTAATTTAGAATGGCCAAAAAATATTCCTGCAAATTGCTGTTAGATTATCCCTAACAAACTATTAGAATCCTGTAGGGAGACTTGCACAAGTTAGCATTATCATAGAGGTGGGTTTTTTTCCTCATGTTTTGACAGAGTTTAGACATACAGTCAGCTCTAACAGTCTCTGTTTACCACTGATTATGTTGCAAGTCAACTGTTTTACTGTAATTTTGTTAGATACAGGATCACATCAACATTTATGTCTGTGATAATTGACTATAGATGCAGCAGATAGAGATTAGCTTGAAAAATGCTGGAATGTTTCTTTAGCATTTCTATTTTTCATATAGACAGATCAGGGTCTTCTAATCACCACCTAAAGAAAAGCAGAGTGATTATGTGCATTTAACGGTATTTACCATCTGCCATCATGTTAACCTCAATAAGGATAATGAACATGTGAATTCATATTATATGGCTTAGTACAGTATGGCAAAATTAAAGTAAGAGTAATGGCAGGTATGATAAGATTTCGATATGCCGTACTTGTACGATTGCAAACTTAGCCTAATAAAATGTAAAAAAATAATCACAGCAATAGGATAATGTACAGTCACTGTGTCATATGCACCAAAAACAAACAAACAAACAAAAAAAACATATACAGGATATATCGTCGTTCTATGTCACAGTGATATTGACACTCCTCTAATATGACCATTCGGAGACTTGGACTTGGACTTTTTATAGTACATGCAACTTATTGACCCAACTTTATCTTTTTTGCTGTGTTATTGTCACATGTAATATTTTTTATAAGGGCTAGCATATTTTATGATGTTACAGCAGATTGCTAATATATTTTATTTTGTTATAATAGATTCTTTCTCTATCCATCTTGCTCTAAGCTAGGTTGATGTGTTAGTCTGATTTTTTAGGTGCAGGCAGAGCAGGGATCAGGCTGTGTACTCCTCCTGTCACCCATTAATCCCTGAAAGATGATCTACATGCGGGCTGCTCCAATGCCTGTCTATTGGAGAGTCCCATCCTTATCAGCCAGACAGCAGCATAGACTCCCGGCCCGCTCAGGGGGTCCAATCCATCCTCCTCCAGCCTCCTCGTAATTAGTGGATGTGTCTAGGGCTGCCCGGGGATTTGGCCTGGGCATGAACTAGGTCGATGGGTGATATTTGATGGTGTTTTTATTTTGCCACCCTTCCCCCTCCCTCCCCTCTCACTCTGCCACATCAAGCTAATGTCAGTTTTATTTGTCAAAGGGAATATGTTTGACATCCACCCAGTGGCCTGGATCATTATGGCCAGGGCCGGGGGAGGCTGCTGAGAGGTCACACTGGTCATTATAGGGTGTGCTATGAGCTTGACGCTATGGTGAAAGTGCAGCATACTCGCTTATTAGATGTCCTCTTCTTTTTTTCTTTTTTGCTGAATCAGAGAATCAGCCAAGACGAGATGATTACAAGAAGGCCGGGCCCTGCTCACATACATCAGAGCTACATGACTCATCTAATGCATGACCTTATGGAGGTACATAATTTGGCAGATGGAAAAGATTTTGGACACTCGCCCACAAAATGGAAATGTGGATCTTGTGAAAATGCAGTGCTTGCATTTCAGCTTCCACATATCCTATAGCTGGCCTTTATCGACTGCTAAATGTGTATTACCATTATTGGCATCTCAGTGACAGTGGTTTAATTAACTGTTTTGGGGCATTTCACTGTGCAACGATGCAACGGCGTATTGATGCAACGGTGCTGTCACTATGGATTAGTTGACATATTTCACAGAGCCATTAATGGTTCGGCCTATTTGGATAATGAGACTTCATTCCAATTGTCCATTTGCTGGGTAACGTAATGATGGCTTCTACTAATGTCATACCAGGACACGAGACTCATGTGTTCAGACTTTCTCTCATCTACCGTGCAGAATATGAGGCTGTGCATATTGGATTATGCCTCTGTACTCCTCTAACTGCTTCATTTACAGTCCCAAGGCTTGATAAGACCAAAGCGTGAAGCTAGCAAAAAGACATTGAAGACCTATTGTATGTCTGAGTTTAAAATGTGATTAAAACTCATTTATCTGCTATACTTACCCATTTATTCACCTTTTGAGTTAAGTAGCAATAAGGATTCATGTGAAATCCAAGGAAATTAAGCAAAACACAACAAAAACTCTTTTAGGTGCCCAAAGGGCCTCTTTGGAAGAGGAAGCACTTTTAATTTACTTTTAATGGATAGATGGTTTCTTAAAAAACTGAACAGAAACCATTCTAAATGTGCTTTTTTTTTATGGCATTGCTCAAAGCGCCTTCTTTGAATAGCTGAAAAAGATATAATTCATATAGTTCTATTCAAAAGTTTGGAATCACCTGCCATATATTCATCTTCCTACTAATTAAGCTGAAGCCCGTGAAGCTGTAGAGTGGTGGCATCATGATTAACTCATTTTGTACATGCAACAACAGCAACTAGTGATTCCAATTCTTTAAATATTGATTCCAAAATTTCGAACAGCAGTGTATAATTTAGAATATGTAGATCTACTTTTGGATTGTCTAGCTGCAGATCTTGAGTAAAGATTTTTGTGCCAAACATTTAAAGTTTTAAATCTCAGTATTACCATTTTGACCTTGCGCCTGTCGACTCCTTTTTAAACAAACTATAATTAGTCTGTAGTCTTCTTACTCAGAAGAAATAACTATGTATCTAATGCCTGCATGCCAGTATGTTATGTTATGAGTGGAGTATAGTCTGTATCACAGCATTTGAAATTATGTAACTCAGTTATATCATAATCTAATCTAATCATAATTATCTGACTTAAAGGCAGATCCATTTCTGGACATTTGGGGGGATCCCTGCACCAACACCAGTGATATTATTTTGGTGCAATAAAAATAAAAAAGGATAAATACTTCTATGTTTAATAAATGTTAAAGCAAACACAATAAAAATAAATATTAACTATATCAAAGAGGATTTTTTAACTCTTTAAATTCCCAATCATAAACACACTAGGGTTAATTTTTACATAATTACATGGAAAACGTCTTTTTTTCTGCATAATTTGTTAGCTCTCTTTTAGATGGTTCTTTAATGGTTAGGACCTCCACAGTGCAAACATTATTTGGGTGGGGGATCATTCTCACCACTGCAGTGACACTGACACGGTGGTGACATGTTTAAAGATTTTAAGTTTCGGTCTGTAGCATTTAATGTTACTACTTTCCTCATTTAGCACTTCTCTCTCTCTGCCTTTCGCTCGCTCGCTCGCTCACTCTCTCTCTCTTTCCAGCCACTGCTGTCGCTGTGCCTCAATGCATGGAAACTTTCACCCCCCCATTTTTCTCTCTCTGTCTCTCTCTCTCTTGCACACACATATACACACACACCATGGCTCAGAATGGTGAGTGGGAGGGGAGGAGTCTATGTCTGGTAAGGTTGAGCTGTTTACAGTGTGGGTTTATAGAGCAGCAGACGGGGGGCCGTCCTACAAAGAGGGAAGAGGGAGGAGAGAAGGCAAACAGGGATAGAGAGAAAGAGAAAGACAGTGAGGCAGAAAGGGGATAGGGAGTGTTAGAGAGAGGGTCTGCATGCGTTCTGTATGGGACAGGCTTGATGGAACCACACACAGACACCGCACCGCAGCCTTTTTTTTCACTGCCTTCTATCACATCTGCTACAGTGCAGCTCATGTCTGCCTGAGGAAAGGACCAGCCGGAGCAGCACTGTACACTCTAGCAGAAAAGGAGCATTTATTTACTGTAAGTACTATATCTCACATATAGTTTATCATTTTTTATATAATTTTATATGCTAACATGAAGTCAACTATATTTCATAGATCAGGCAAGAATGTTGCACTGGTTATGCAAACAGCATTTCTGTTTGACAGTTTTACAGTCTGCATTAACCAAAAAAACGAGTCTATAATAGGAGCCCTAAAACTTGCCTTCCTTTCTTTTAGGACAAAAAGCAGGCATTGATAAGAGACTTGAATGCATCTTACAGTGTCTAGTCATGGATGACTCTAGAGACACTTCTGAATAGAGTGTGCTCCTGCATCATGGTTCAGCAAAAATACTCTACAGCCATGGACAGAGATTCGAGCCGAGAGGTGTTCGTGGGACTGGGAGCAGAGGACGCTGATGAAGTGTTCGGGCATGTCCCGTCCAGTAAAGACCCTAACTGGTGCAAAACTCCCACTGGGCACATCAAAAGACCCATGAACGCATTCATGGTGTGGTCCCAAATTGAGAGACGGAAGATCATGGAGCAGTGGCCTGACATGCACAATGCAGAAATCTCCAAGCGCCTCGGAAAACGCTGGAAATTACTTCCAGACTATGAGAAGATACCCTTCATCAAGGAGGCAGAGAGATTGCGTCTGAAGCACATGGCTGACTACCCCGACTACAAGTACCGTCCCAGGAAGAAGAGCAAGTGCTCCACACCTGTCAAAGTTGGGGACAAGCTCCCACTAAAAGCCAGCAAGTCCCATTCAGGTCGATCTGCCAACTTCACCAGCAAAGGGCTCAAAATCAAACCCAACTCCTCCAAACACAAAGTGAACTTCAATGGCAATAAACATAAGAGCTACAGTGAGAGCATGAGTGATGATGACACAGTGGATGTAAACCTGGCAAGTCCAGTGACCCTGCAAGATGACCAGAATCAGACAAGTCTTGTTGTCCTCCACCAGCAGACCACTATTCCCCTCAAAGACCAGCAGCCCATTCCTCAACTCAGAGTCAAAGTGCCCACCACACAGCCCAGCAATCTCCAGAGTCCCTCCTCTGACAGTGGGTATCAGGCACCCTCAGAGGTCAGGGCCTCTGAGGCACGAGGGTCTAATTCTGGAAGATCCTCCACGCCAACCTCCATCAGCTCCTCCTCCTTTGTTTCATCAGCTTCTTCAGATGAGGAACTGGACGAGGAAATCTTGCATATCATATCCAACACAAACTTTGACAGCATGCCTATGGACTGCTCCACTCTGGACAAGGACTTTGAAGCATTTCATGCCAACTCAGGATCCCACTTTGACTTTCCAGACTACTGCACTCCAGAGGTGAACGAGATGATTTCTGGGGACTTACTTGTACCAAGCATCTCTGACCTGGTGTTTACCTACTAAGGTCAAGTCCAATGTGATTTTGGGTGGGCAGACGTGTCTGCCAAAACCAGAGGTCTTGAATATGTTATGTCCATGTCCCTGACCTTGGACAATTCCTTTTTTCCATTGTTTTGTTTCTCTATGAATTCCGTAAGTGCTATTGCTTTTGTTTTCCAAGCATGTCACATCTTGTTGGGTTAGGAAAGAACAGCATGGGGCTCTGCAAAGTACTTAAGTGGAGTTAAATATTCAGACACCGAGACCCAGTTTCAGACAAAAAGCAGACATTCAGCCTACAACATAATGTCAGGGCATGATAAGGTCATAGGCAGCAAAGTTGTGATTCTTAGTTACAGCAGACAAACTTGTAACAGGTCCGAATTATTCCAGGGTTTTCAAAAACATAATTTTTATCACTGGACTTTGAAATGCTGCATGAGAGCAGCACAGACATGGTAGAGCTAGCCATGCATCAGTATTTATAAACCACATAGCACTGTAAATTTCATGACTGTTCATAACAGCATTACTGTTCTGCTCTGCCAAGGTATCGTCCCACAAAGAAATTCAGAGTAGTTAAACTGGAAGACTCAAGACCTATTTGCACAAGATATATCATGGAGTAGGTATTGTATTACAGTATTGAGTACTGATGGCATTAGCAATCTGAAAGGATAAAGAGCTAGGTTGGGTGAGAATCAGCTTGTGTGAAGCTAATTAAAATCTGCTGCACTTGACAGGCATACAGTATGGTGGAGTGTCAGAAAGCCGCCAGACATAATGGCTGCGGAGAAGTGGCAGGCGGCTGGAACAGAATTAACCCTTGGCTCTTTAATTAGGTAACAGCAATTTCATCACCTTGCTAATGCCGTAAGACATGAGATACAGGCATGATTGAAAGGCAGCCCTGTACTGTCTGTGTGTGCCCAAGTGTGCTTGCTTTCAGGCAGGACAGGCTGCGGGTGAAGGGGACTAGGGTTTGGGGGCTAGGGTAAGGGGGGGCTGGGGACCGTTCTTTCTGGGAGCTTTGCATCTGTCCATGCAGGCAGCAGTCTTTGTGCAGGAGCGTCAGGGAGGGGAGGTGAGGAGGTTTGGGTGCGAGGGTGGGTTTTGGGGAGGGGGTTACTGCCCTAGCTCTACAAAATGCATGTCATGTCTGCAGTCTGGCTGCAGCTGCCCCGATCAGGGCGAGAAATCTGCGTCTGCCAGCTGGCCCCATTGACTCTCTCAGGGATCGTTTGTCTAGGTCCTAGTGCCTCCCGTAGGTAATTCATCTGTGATGATTCGTGTGTGTGTGTGTGCGTGCACGAGTGCATGTGTGTCTTTTTCTCTCCCGGCCGCTCTGTTCCCGGAGCAACCGTCTGAAGCCGGCTGAGGTGACTGAGTGCACTGCTTTCTTGCTGCTTCTCAAACGGGAACCATCCTATCATCCGACTCCCAGACTTATTCATTTTAGCGCCAGCAAACCCGGCACAGTTTACCTCCCACTATCAGCTGTCACAGAGGGACAACAAACCCTGCAGTTTCAAGCTTACATAAACAGCTAATCCTCCTCCAATGCCTTGCACCCCTGCGAAGATGCAGCCACATGTGGTGCAGCAGAGGCAGTGAAGCAAAGGAGCAGGGGACACCCAGTCAAAACGGTCGCTGTGTGCTAGCTTTCACATTAACCTCATTTACTCGGGTTGCATAACGACTGTTTGTGTCATGTCGTCCCCCGCACACCCACAGGAGTGGTTTTCTGTCTTACTGTGCTCCTCCTTGCAGCAAACAGCTAACTGTTTGACCAGTTTGAACTGTAATCAACTGTATGACCATCACCACATGTGTTTTTTTATTCTGATACACTTCCATTAGTCTTTGTACTACCAATGCTAGTGTGATTATTTAAAGACATCACATCCATGGTGTAATGTTATATTGTTACAAATAATTCAGGTATCCAGGATGTGAACCGAGAGAGGAAAGTCTAATGTGAGGGGATATGACAAGAAAATAGGGGCAAGAACAAATGCATGATCAGAGGCCTTCAATCACCCTTACTATATAGATATATTTTGTCCACTATGTAGAAGAGGAGCAATTTGCCTTTACATATATGTACAGAATAGATTTAGGCATGGCATCTTCGAAGTGCTCAAAATGTTTAAAGAAATGCTAGAACCCCAATTGTAGAAACTGAGTCCATGATACTAGCAGTTAACCTGACAGATTGTGTTGATGGATGAAGCATGAATGCAAAAGTGTTCATACATGATGCTTGGTGGTGTTACAAAATAGCATCCACACTTAACTTGCTAAAAGCAAGAGCTCTTATGTGACCTAAAAAAGGGATTCATGAATGGGTGTAAAAGAGGACTTTGGCCAAAACTATCAGGGAAAGTGTTGTTGATTATTTCAATGCAGATTCTGCACATCCAAGCGTGTCACCACGAATTGAGAGTTCAATGGCGTGTCTCACAAGCAGGGAGGGCTTATGTCTCTGCATTAAGATACTCACAATTAAACCTGTCAGTCAAACTGTTCCTCATACACGTATTATATATGTGTGCATATATAATATCCAGGCTACACACTGAACCAATACAAGAACCAACACCAGCAGTATCAAAAAGGACTCAGGACCTTTAACATCAGCTCACTGTGGAACTGCATTGACCCTGTTTTGATTTCAGCCATTAAGATTGATGCTTATGGACATAAGGAATCATTGATTTCATCTGCAAAACTGTATGTAGCAACGGAGGTGAATTTTGCAAAGACGAAACCTTTCAAAAGATGAAATATTTCCAAACAACATGGTGCAGTCTTTCAGACACACTTTTCTTTTTCAACTGTAAATAAACTTTTATTTAATCATTGAGAAGATGTTAAAATGAGGGTTTCTTAATAGGGTGATCTTTGTAGTGACCTTACCAGCATCTCTGGATTATTTATTCGATGACTTTATTTTTTGAATTATTTAATATATTATTTTTTAATGTTTCCGATAGCCTCATTTGTTTATTTATTAAATATTTTAGCAAGAGCACCAGAGAAAAGGGGTAGACATTTCACAGATGGGCTCAGGCAAATTAGTGTCAGAGTGATAAATGCAAAAAAAGCCGTATATAAATGAACCAGTGTAAAGAAAAAAAAAGAAACCCATCTGGTCCGCACCTCCTACTCTGGGCTGGCTCTTGATGAATAGCATTCTGGTAGACAGAAACGCAAGGACGATGCTAATTTCGCAAAGGCCGGACTTGGCTCCACTCAACCTGTCATAATGGTGGTACAATTCCATATCACAACACGTCGATCAACCAGAACCTCACTGCATGAGGCTCGCCTCAGCTTGCCTTACAGGCCACCACGTCAGTCTGCTCCTCAGGGTCTCACTATTCTTTCAGTTGCACCATGTCTAATGTGAAGATTTATTATGGGATTCACTGTTTTCAAATCTTGACAGGTCCCAATTAATTTGTCAGTAAACTCAAAGCTCAGCCTGGAGTGGATGTGACACTATTTGGGACTTTGGACATCACACTGACAATAACTAACCCAAGTGCGCTCTTGAAAATAAAGGTGTCAAAAAGCGTTCTTTGAAGTCATGCAATAAAAGAACCACTTTTGGTTTCCTTAAAAAGTGATTGCTTTGAAGAATAATCGATTCAAGCTTCTTCAGGGAACTGAAAGTGGTTCTTCTGTGGCCTAAAACTCTTTTTAGCAGCTTTATTTTTAAGCGTGTACAGTATGACCATATTGCCTCACATAATGGTATACATTGTTTACAGGTTTTATAGGTTTATTTCACAATATTATTTTCCAACATGTATTGTTAGTAGAAAATATCAGAATTTTTAAAAGTTTGTACATTTTTAGTATCTTTACACTTTGTTTCTGAAACGTATGTACTTTTTTCAGAGTTATTGATTTCGACATGGTTACACTTGCAAGATCTACTTCTTTTGAACCGAAATGTTGACGGTAATATGATGACAAACTGACACGTGAAACAAAGGGTCTACTCAATTTTATTCAAAGAATATTGTAACAAAAGATGTCCATTGGTTATTGGCTAAACTTTACTTTACTTTGTGTTGCAAACAGCCTGACCCATCATCATTACTTTTAATACACAATATCATGACTTGTGATTCCATAAATGCCTGACAGATGCTCTTTTAAAATGCCAATACCCTGAAGTATTATAGGGATATGACTTTCTTGCCTAGCATGTAAATCAAGAATGGCCATTATTCCAATCTGAATGTTTTGATACCACTGTTTGTCATCAGAACTTTGATTTCCTGAACTGTAATTGTAGGCATTTGTAAGTAGGCCACACATGCACCAGCATCAACTCTAAGAAACCACATCTAAGCAGCTGATCCTGGACCATGGACAGAGATACACATTATGCATGTACAAGAAAAAGATATTAAAGACTCCATTAAACCAGCCTCACACCAAAAAGTTCAATCTGAGTGAAGCTGAATCCATTTGTGGCTTTAAGAAAACAGCCAATGCTGTTGTGATGTTCTTTCTCTCTTTGGGTATTACTACAATTCTATATGACTGGATGCATAATTGATCATGATGTGTGTTTTATCAACCTGTCTCCTCACTTTGTGTTAAAAAAAATCTTACAGTTGGAAGATAAGAATCTTCTTCATCGTTTTCCACATGATTAACTTTGTTTTTCCTCATGTGCGTGCATGCGTGCATCTACTTTTTTAGTCAGCTACAGTGCGTTCCCATGTGTCTGAAGGTGGGTTCTGTATGTGGGCAGAAACGAAAGCACTTTGCTGTACATAACGATGGTAGATCTGAGCATTGCAGTTTCTCATTTTGAATACAACTATATGTGTAGTGGCAAGCTCATTAATAAACTAGCTACTTCAGCACACATGTGGCCTTGCTGTGTTTCTATGCAACTGGATGTAAAGAATATATATATATATATATATATATATATATATATATATATATATATATATAAACAAAATTACAAATTAAGAGATTTTATTGACAGAATTTAAACACGTCGCTCATCATTACATCCATATGTAAGCTCTTTAGTTAAAAGTAGTCAAGTTAAAAGTAGTTTAACATGCTTGCTGTCTTGTGTGTACCTGTCTTGCGCTGTGGGTTCCTCCCACTGCATCTCTGACGTCGAGTTTCAGAAAGGATGCAGATGTTCTTGTGGTCAGGGCACACAGGCTTGAGAGGCTGTTGCAATCATGTCAGTGACAGCACATACACATATACACACCACATGCAAAAAACACTTTACCTCCACAAACCCAACTGCTATTTCCAGGTATTGCATATCACATTTGTTAACCAGCTCTAAATTGTAACAATGTCTTAAGATTCCTTAAAAATATTTCAATAATAATTCTGTCTGGGGACAAAATAGAACTGATGCCATTTGGGGCCCATTGAAAATTTCATGCATGGGTCCCTTGCCTCACCTTGTTTGCCTTAGCAGAAAATGTCACAACATTATAATATGGCATTTTAATAACTGGGACTTCCGAATGACACAACTGTCTAAGCCGAGGCCATCTCATCAGAAATCTTGAGTTCAGTCCAAGGTGATGCCACAACCATCTGTGGCCAAGTCCAAGAAAGCATAAATGTCCTTGCTTTCTCTAGGTGGATAGGATGTCCCTCTCTCTCTCAGCACCATGCTAACCAATGTGAGCGCCTGATAGCTATTGTAACAGAATAGGCTGTTCTCTAAGCTCGTTGCGCTGTCCATTAACGTGGCATTTGCGACAGCTCAAAAAGATGTGGTGGTTGGTTTGGAGGAAGCATGTGCTAGCCGTCCCCCTGCCATCTTTAAAGCACCATTGAACATTTCCACATGCTAGCTTGTGGAAATGTTCAAAACTCTACCAAAAATGTGCATTCTAACTAAAGTTTGATTTTTCAGTCTCCATATGAGTTCCTGTATGGATACCCA